AAAAAACAGATGCTTCATTTATTAAATTGAAATAATAAAATACATTTCACGGTCCAGGGTCACACACAAAGAATAAAAAGCAAAGAAACGTGGATATGAAGCCACGTTTCTGTTTACTGAACTATTTTTTCCCTGCATTTTGACTGCACCTCTCTCACAACTCTCTCCATGGCTCAGTACAGTGGCCATGATCCCTGGCAGTCCCTGGTTTGGTTCTGCTCCAATGTCTCCAGGCTCTGCTCGGGTCCCGGCTGAGGCCCTCTCACTGACAGATGTGGAAAAGGAGGTACGTCCTCCCAAAGCTTCTCTGATAGATACAAAAGGTGACCCTGGGTCTGTCCTCGAACATCTATGGACTTTTCTCAATCCACTGCCTCGAATAATCCACCCTCAAAACTGTTTAGGCAAGTCTGACCAAGATGGAACCAGGATGGGGCCGGGATGGAACCAGGACAGGACGGGGACAAGACCAGGACAAGACCAGGACAAGACCAGGACAGGACAAGGACGGGACACGGACGGGGCCAGGACAGGACCAGGACAAGACCAGGACAAGACCAGGACAGGACCAGGACAGGACCAGGACAGGACCAGGACAAGACCAGGGCAGGATCAGGACAGGACCAGGACAGGACTAGGACGGGACTAGGACGGGACCAGGACAGGACAAGGACGAGACCAGGACGGGACCAGGATGGGGCCAGGACGGGGCCAGGAGGGGACCAGGGCGGGAGCAGGACAAGACCAGGACAGGACCAGGACGGGACCAGGACGGGACCAGGACGGGGCCAGGACGGGGCCAGGACAGGACCAGGACATGACCAGGACAAGACCAGGACAAGACCAAGACAGGACCAGGACCAGGACAAGACCAGGGCAAGATCAGGACAGGACCAGGACAGGACTAGGACGGGACTAGGACGGGACCAGGACAGGACAAGGACTGAACCAGGACAAGACCAGGACCGGACTAGGACTGAACCAGGACAAGACCAGGACGGGACCAGGATGGGACCAGAACAAGGCCAGGATGGGACTAGGACAAAACCAGGGGACGAGGTAAAAGTCTGACCAATGACGGGACTGAAGATGATGGTGCAGGCTCCAGCTGGGAACTGGGACTTTCACGTCTGTAAATAATTGCTATTTTAAATTCAGATTACAGTCCGCTGCAATAACTATTTTGAGTTTAAATTACCCCCACATTAAACCATCCTGTTTCATCATCATGTGTATTTATATAGTGTTTTTATAGACCAAGGTAACTTGGGTAGGGGAAACCGTAGCACCAGGAGGACACCTTTGCAGACACAGAGAACATGCAAATTCCACCCAGACAGGCCCTGTTCAGACCGGGATTCTCCTGTGTCCATGATGCTTTCAACATTAGAATTTAACTTGTATTTTATCTGTTTTTAAATTACACTTTTTACTAGGACGGGACCAGGACCAGACTAGGACGCGACCAGGACCAGACTAGGACGGGACCAGGACAAGGCTAGGACCAGACCAGGACCAGACTAGGACGGGACAAGGACAAGACTAGGACGGGCCCAGGACAAGACTAGGACGGGACCAGGACAAGGCTAGGACAAGACCAGGACAGGACCAGGACGGGACCAGGACAAGGCTAGGACCAGACCAGGACCGTACTAGGACGGGACCTGGACAAGACTAGGACGGGACCAGGACAAGGCTAGGACAAGACCAGGACAGGACTAGGACAAGACCAGGACAGGACTAGGACGGGACCAGGACAAGGCTAGGACAAGACCAGGACCGGACTAGGACGGGACCAGGACAAGGCAAGGACAAGACCAGGACAGGACCAGGACGGGACCAGGAGGAGACCAGGACGGGACCGGGAGGAGACCAGGACGGGACCAGGACGAGACCAGGACAATGCACTTTTTACTTGTATGTAAAGAGACCTAAGTATCAATCAATCAAAGTTTATTTGTAGAGCGCCTTTCATACACAGGGCAACACAAAGCGCTTCACAGTCCACATCACAAATCATCACATAAAACAAACACCAGAATCACAATTAAAACATTAAAATCGCACAAAAGATTAAAACACAATTAAAACATTAAAATCACACAAAAGAATATAACCATTAAAACTTTCAAAATTACACAAGAAATTTAAACAAATAAATAAATGACAGCAGTGCATTAGAAATGGAGATAAAATCCTTCAGTTGTATGCACAGGCAAACAGAACAGTCTTTAACCTGGATTTGAACATTGACAGAGTAGACGCCTCCCTCACATTTTCAGGGAGATTGTTCCAGATCTTAGCTGCATAGATCTGAAACGCAGCCTCCCCATGTTTGGTTCTCACTCTGGGCACCAGCAGGAGGCCAGTCCCTGTGCTCCTCAGAGTCCGGGCCGGTTCATATGACACCAACATGTCACTAATGTATTCTGGTGCAAGGCCATGGAGAGACTTGTACACAAGCAGAGCTGTTTTAAAATCTATTCTTTGAGCCACAGGAAGCCAGTGCAGAGACCTGAGGACCGGACTAATATGGTCATACTTCCTGGTTCCTGTCAGGACTCTAGCTGCTGCATTTTGGATGTACTGCAGCTGCTTACAGGTCTGTTTGGACAGACCTGTAAGCAGGCCATTGCAGTAGTCTAGCCTGCTGGAGAAAAATGCATGGACAAGAATCTCCAAGTCTGCCCTGGACACTATATTTCTAACTTTGGCAATGTTCTTCAGATGGTAAAAAGCTGTTGATGTTATTGATTTTATGTGGCTATTGAAATTTAGGTCTGAGTCCAGTATTACCCCCAAATTTCTGACCTTGTCTGAAGGAAGTAGGGAGAGAGACTGAAGTTGACAAATGACGCCCTCTCTTTGTTTCTGGGGACCAAAGACAATGATTTTGGTTTTGTCTGCATTTAGCTGGAGGAAATTATTTTGCATCCAGTCACTGATCTGTTGGATACAGTGAAGGAGCAAATCCAGTGGTCCATGTTCTCCTGCAGTCAGTGAGACATAGATCTGAGTGTCGTCGGCGTAATTGTGGTAGGACACTTTGTTTCTTTGTATTAACTGACCTAACGGCAGCATGTAGAGATTAAATAGGAGAGGTCCCAGGATCGACCCCTGTGGTACTCCACAGGTCAGGGCCACATGATCTGAGACGCAGTCTCCAATCTCCACAAAGTACTTCCTATCCTCCAGGTAAGACCTAAACCAGTCTAGGGCTGTGCCAGTGACACCAACCCAGTCCTCCAGTCTCTGCATGAGGATCTCATGGTCGACAGTGTCGAACGCGGCACTAAGATCTAACATGACCAAAACTGTGACTTTACCTGCATCAGTGTGAAGTCGAATGTCGTTTGTTACCTTCACTAGAGCGGTCTCAGTACTGTGGTGGGGTCTAAACCCAGACTGGAACATATCAAAAGAATTATTCATTGTTAAAAATTCAGTAAGTTGTTGGGAGGCCACTTTTTCAAGAATTTTTCCAATGAATGGTAGATTCGATATGGGGCGATAATTTTGAAGTCCCGCAGGATCCAGACTGCTCTTTTTTAGGAGAGGTCTTATGACTGCTGTTTTTAGGGCCATAGGAAATGTTCCTGACGACAGAGACATGTTTACTATTTGTGTCAGTGAAGGTAACAAACTGCTCAGGACGGACTTCAGAAATTTAGAGGGCAATATATCCAGGCTACATGTGGAGGAGCTCAGACTCATGATTATCTTTTTGACAGTTTCAGTATCCACAGGTGCAAAGTGAGTTAGCTCAACAAGCTTCTCTGGCTGTTGCATTGTTATACGTGCTGTGGAGGTGATAGTGTTTTTGATTCCTTGTACTTTGTCATCGAAAAACTGTGCGAACTCATTACACCTAGATTTAGAGGAAAATTCTAGGGGCAACTTTACAGGGGGGTTCGTTAATCTACCAACTGTTGCAAACATAACACGAAAATTGTTACTGCAACCTCCAATAATGTCAGAAAAATACATTTCTCTTGTTCTACGTAGAACCCGGTTAAATTCACCCAACTCATCTTTAAAGATTTCATAATCGCCCTGGAAATTGGACTTTCGCCACTTCCGTTCGGCCCTCCGGCACTCTTGCTTCTGTGCCCTGACCGAGTCTGCCTTAGTCCATGGGGCCTTTTTCTTACTGGTAACTATTTTAACCGTCACAGGAGCAATGGCGTCCAGAACAGTCAGAACACTGGTGGTGACAGAGTTATACAATTCATCAACAGTAGAGCATGGAGTTTTCTCAAAATTTAGCATTCCCATGAACAGTTCACTTGTGTTTTCATGTATGTGTCTTCTTCTAACAATTGTAAATTCAGCTGGTGGTTTGCTAGCAAAACACATGTCAAAAAATACACAAAAATGATCTGACAAAGCAACATCAACTACATTAACATTTGATACATTAACCCCCTTTGTAATTAGCAGGTCAAGAGTGTGCCCCCTGCTGTGGGTGGGGCCACTCACATGCTGAATGAAACCAAAGGTCTCAAATACAGAAGCCAGCTCCTTTGCATTTCTGTCATCAACATTATCAACATGTACATTAAAATCACCTGTAATAAAATCACCTGTAATAACTAAACTATCAAAAGTAATAAAATGTATTATTATTATCATTATTATCCCAAAATCCACTGAGTCCATTCCATTCTCCAGCTGAACATGGTCTGCCGTGACCACGAGGAGTCCGCACCACAGACATGACGCCCTGTGCTCTCGTCTCATCCACAGCAGAAGGTAATTTGATTAATTACAGCGATTAGGCTAATTATGATCTCATTAAAGAAAGACGTGAATGAGCCATCAGACAGAAGGAATCAGAGGGACTGCCTTTAGACGCTTTTCAGTCCAAACATGTTCAGGTCAATCCCACAGGACTCAGAAAACATAGGTTCACGTCTGATCAAAGAGATTAGAACCAAACACATGCAGCAAGTGTTTTAGTGGAAACTGCTTTAATGGCAGATGTCTCCTCTGGACCTCCTTTAAACACTACAGATACAGGACCAGGAGGAGGCAGGACCTGGAGGAGGCAGGACCTGGAGGTAGGACCAGGAGGAGGCAGAACCTGGAGGAGGCAGGACCTGGAGGTAGGACCAGGAGGAGGCAGAACCTGGAGGAGGTAGGACCAGGAGGAGGCAGGACCTGGAGGAGGCAGAACCTGGAGGAGGCAGGACCAGGAGGAGGCAGGACCTGGAGGAGGCAGAACCTGGAGGAGGCAGGACCAGGAGGAGGTAGGACCAGGAGGAGGCAGGGCCAGGAGGTAGGACCAGGAGGAGGCAGGACCTGGAGGAGGCAGAACCTGGAGGAGGTAGGACCAGGAGGAGGCAGGACCTGGAGGAGGCAGAACCTGGAGGAGGCAGGACCAGGAGGAGGCAGGACCAGGAGGAGGCAGGACCTGGAGGAGGCAGAACCTGGAGGAGGCAGGACCAGGAGGAGGCAGGACCAGGAGGTAGGACCAGGAGGAGGCAGGACCAGGAGGAGGTAGGACCAGGAGGAGGCAGGACCAGGAGGTAGGACCAGGAGGAGGTAGGACCTAGAGGAGGTAGGACCAGGAGGAGGTAGGACCAGGAGGAGGCAGGACCAGGAGGAGGCAGGACCTGGAGGAGGCAGGACCAGGAGGAGGTAGGACCAGGAGGAGGCAGGACCAGGAGGTAGGACCAGGAGGAGGCAGAACCTGGAGGAGGCAGGACCAGGATGAGGTAGGACCAGGAGGAGGCAGGACCAGGAGGAGGCAGGACCTGGAGGAGGTAGGACCAGGAGGAGGCAGGACCTGGAGGAGGCAGAACCTGGAGGAGGCAGGACCAGGAGGAGGCAGGACCAGGAGGAGGCAGGACCAGGAGGAGGTAGGACCAGGAGGAGGCAGGACCAGGAGGTAGGACCAGGAGGAGGCAGGACCAGGAGGTAGGACCAGGAGGAGGCAGGACCTGGAGGAGGCAGGACCTGGAGGAGGCCGGACCAGGAGGTAGGACCAGGAGGAGGCAGGACCTAGAGGAGGTAGGACCAGGAGGAGGCAGGACCAGGAGGAGGCAGGACCTGGAGGAGGTAGGACCTGGAGGAGGCAGGACCTGGAGGAGGCAGGACCAGGAGGAGGCAGGACCTGGAGGAGGCAGAACCTGGAGGAGGCAGGACCAGGAGGAGGTAGGACCAGGAGGAGGCAGGGCCAGGAGGTAGGACCAGGAGGAGGCAGGACCTGGAGGAGGCAGAACCTGGAGGAGGTAGGACCAGGAGGAGGTCTCCTCTGGACCTCCTTTAAACACTACAGATACAGGACCAGGAGGAGGCAGGACCTGGAGGAGGCAGGACCTGGAGGTAGGACCAGGAGGAGGCAGAACCTGGAGGAGGCAGGACCTGGAGGTAGGACCAGGAGGAGGCAGAACCTGGAGGAGGTAGGACCAGGAGGAGGCAGGACCTGGAGGAGGCAGAACCTGGAGGAGGCAGGACCAGGAGGAGGCAGGACCTGGAGGAGGCAGAACCTGGAGGAGGCAGGACCAGGAGGAGGTAGGACCAGGAGGAGGCAGGGCCAGGAGGTAGGACCAGGAGGAGGCAGGACCTGGAGGAGGCAGAACCTGGAGGAGGTAGGACCAGGAGGAGGCAGGACCTGGAGGAGGCAGAACCTGGAGGAGGCAGGACCAGGAGGAGGCAGGACCAGGAGGAGGCAGGACCTGGAGGAGGCAGAACCTGGAGGAGGCAGGACCAGGAGGAGGCAGGACCAGGAGGTAGGACCAGGAGGAGGCAGGACCAGGAGGAGGTAGGACCAGGAGGAGGCAGGACCAGGAGGTAGGACCAGGAGGAGGTAGGACCTAGAGGAGGTAGGACCAGGAGGAGGTAGGACCAGGAGGAGGCAGGACCAGGAGGAGGCAGGACCTGGAGGAGGCAGGACCAGGAGGAGGTAGGACCAGGAGGAGGCAGGACCAGGAGGTAGGACCAGGAGGAGGCAGAACCTGGAGGAGGCAGGACCAGGATGAGGTAGGACCAGGAGGAGGCAGGACCAGGAGGAGGCAGGACCTGGAGGAGGTAGGACCAGGAGGAGGCAGGACCTGGAGGAGGCAGAACCTGGAGGAGGCAGGACCAGGAGGAGGCAGGACCAGGAGGAGGCAGGACCAGGAGGAGGTAGGACCAGGAGGAGGCAGGACCAGGAGGTAGGACCAGGAGGAGGCAGGACCAGGAGGTAGGACCAGGAGGAGGCAGGACCTGGAGGAGGCAGGACCTGGAGGAGGCCGGACCAGGAGGTAGGACCAGGAGGAGGCAGGACCTAGAGGAGGTAGGACCAGGAGGAGGCAGGACCAGGAGGAGGCAGGACCAGGAGGAGGTAGGACCTGGAGGAGGCAGGACCTGGAGGAGGTAGGACCAGGAGGAGGTAGGACCAGGAGGAGGCAGGACCAGGAGGTAGGACCTGGAGGAGGCAGGACCAGGAAGAGGCAGGACCAGGAGGAGGCAGGACCAAGAGGAGGCAGGACCAAGAGGAGGCAGGACCAGGAGGAGGCAGGACCAGGAGGAGGCAGGACCAGGAGGAGGCAGGACCAGGATGTAGAGGTATTTCACTGTAATAACCTAAAATGCTTTAACTTTTGTTAATATTTATATAATATTTATCTTGTTATAGTGTAATTTTTTTTAAATTAGTAATTCATTTGTTGAGCAAAAAGAATTTGATTCAAGACATTAGGAAAGTAAAAAAAATCATCCAAGAAGAGACTTTTACACTTAATAATTATGATTATAGTTATTAGAGTATGTGTGGGTGGACTTTATAAGAACACAGCATTATCTGCAGATGTGCACAGCGTCCTGTTTTTTCTATTTTTTATTGATTATTTATTTGTTATTCTACTTTATATACATGAGATAAACCCGTTCTCATGTCTGAGTTGGTGCTCAATGGTTGGCCGGTCTAGTGCACCATCTGTCATCACCGTTTGTAAAGTGCATGGAAAAAACATTAAATACACAAAGTGCTCTGTCTGACCCTGGTCCTTGAAAAGTGACAAATACTGTATATAATTAAATATCACTCACTTGAACCTGGGAAATGGAAACAGCAGCTTTAGGCGTGTCCCTGGCGTGTCCCTGGCGTGTCCCTGGCGTGTCCTTGGCGTGTCCCTGGCGTGTCCCTGGCGTGTCCCTGGCGTGTCCCTGGCGTGCGGCGGCCTTTTAAAGAAGACCAGACACACGGTGGCTCACGTGGCTCCAGCGCCTCCTTTTTACCGCCGCTGCTCCTGTGCGTCTCCTTATGCCACCATGAATACATCATAAAGCCATTTTCAGGGAGAACAACACGGCGGTACCACACGCTACTGGATCTGCCTGATCAGTTTCAGTTAGAGCAACGCAGGCTGGGCCACGACCGATGCAGAATTTAAACACTGTGCGTGACACAGAGAGAAGAAGAAATGACGACAAGCTGCTGCTGGATTCAGGCTCCGGAGAGTGCTGTGTGCGTCTGCCATGTGTGTGTGTGTGTGTGTGTGCGTGTGTGTGTGCGTGTGTGTGTGAGTGTGTGCGTGTGTGTGTGCGTGTGCCCGATCTGCTTCACTCACAAGGGGTGAACACCAAACATCTCTCTTGAATTTGGGAGACCGGGACGAGAGGCAGATTTAATCATTTAGAATCTGTTCAGGACCAAGAAACTTTATTATGAGTGAGGATTGAAGAAATGCTGGTCCTTAAACGCAATCATTTGAAATATTGTTAATGAGATTTGCTAAAACTGAGCAGAAGAATGTCAAAATAATGATATTTATATCATATATGGGCTAATTAAATCTGAAACATGTGGGAAGATACAATATAATACTCATGATACATTTCAATACACTGCACACACAACTGCACGCACAACCTCCCACATTGGAACATGTAAAAATAATACATTGGTTTTTTATAACTCTGTGAGTCATCGTCTGTAGTTTACAAATTTCTCAAACTAAAACAAATATCTCTAAATAGGAACTTCAACTATGTGCAGTAGAAACCAACAGTTTTTCTATCAGTAAAATGGCACAACATTGAGAGAGGTATTTTTTTGAAACTATTATTATTGATATTTATATTTTCAATAAACCAATAAGTGTGGCTTATTTTAGAATGTGGACAACACAAATCCGCCTAAATAATTAAATAATAAACATAAACATTCTTGCACATGTTCTGAATATCATTACAGACAATGAGAAATATATTTTAGTTTTCAGTACAACACAATGCAATACACAAAACAATTTATTCTTGTATAGCCCTAAATCACAACAGAAGTCATCTCAGAGACTTAACAAAACCATTGAAATCACCAACACAGATCAGAGAATCAACAGTTAAAACACGTGTTGAAAAATGTCCTTATTAAATGACTTGGATCGTACGCGCGCTCTGATTGGCTGATTTGCGGTCTGATATTTTCCCATCTCGGACCGTTACCATGACAATCGGTCCGCAGCGCGTATCACATTTGATATCTTTCCTCTGTAAAAGAGAAATCATGAGCGACGACTGGGAGCATTCTCAGTGAATTCTATGAGTTGGAAGAGCCAGAGGAAGTAACAACAGCAAAAAACCACGAAAACACAACTCCAACAGTCAAGAAGAGATCGACAACTTCGTTACAGACCAGAAAGGTAAAAACAGGATTCGGAAAACCAAGTGGGACATGGACATACTTCACAAATATCTAAAAATCATTGGTAAAAACACAGAAGAGACTGAGAACTTACAGCGGGCGCCTCAATCATCGATAAGTTCTTCATGTCACAGTTTGACAGTTTGGTTTCATGTGTTTTTAGTTGGAACCGATCGATATTTGCACAAATTAAAAATAGTCATATGGTAAAACATTTATTAACCTCGCTTGCTCGGTCCGTACAGAGAAATATCGGCCTTTCTGCACAGACCGAGCCGTGACGAGGTCTGTGCAGAAAGCGCTCGTTTAATAAGCCGTTAAAACATGTTGTAGAATGTTAAAGTGTCCTGGATCTTCACCACAGTCTTTCTAGTTGGACACTAACTGCCCAACAGACCCTCCCGCATCGGCAAGGAAAAACACGGACGCAACCTAAAGTGGCATGACACCCAGAACAAATTCTCCCAGCATGCTCCTCTTCTTTGCTTGACAGATTATGGCCATGCATTTTCCAAGAGTGCATACATTACACAGTGAATGTAACGCCTGTTTTTTCCACTGGACTTTCTAAACCGTGGTTCTGGTTCATTCTGTCTTGATAAATGGACGCCTCTCTGATGCTTCACCGACTGCTTTGTCTAATCGAGTCAAAGAGGAGTTTTGTTTCCAATTAAGAATGACAAAACAAGACGGAGGAGCTCAGGCAGATGCTTTAGCCCCGTCACACCTTCTCCCACACGCGTGTAAATCAGCCGTGTCAGCTCCACCAAATAAACCAGCTCATGAATTTACAATATGTGCAGAGCTCGCAGCTAATGGTGCTTTAGTGGAAGAGGAAGGCCCCTGACGCGCTGACGGCCCCTGACTCGCTGACGGCCCCTGACTCGCTGACGGCAGCCATTTTGACACCCTCCCACCCAGAGCGCTGTCACTGCACCTCTTTAACAGTCCCAAACCTGACATACACCGTGGACGCACACACGGACGCAACTTAAAGTGGCATGACACTATCATGGCCAGAACAAATTCTCCCAGCATGCTCCTCTTCTTTGCTTGACGACATATTATGGCCATGCATTTTCCAAGAGTGCATACATTACACAGAGGACACCGACGGACTGTCAATAAATCAGAACGTGGAGAATGAGGGTGTTAGCATCTATTTGCAAATGTTTTTACTTTTTGATCATCATGAAGAGAATACCATCACCTGAAGAGCTCTCTCATCACCTGAGGAGCTTTCTCATCACCTGAACAGCTCTCTCATCACCTGAAGAGCTCTCTCAATCAATCAATCAATCAATCAAATTTTATTTATAAAGCGCTTTTCATACAAAAAGTGTAACACAAAGTGCTTTACAGTTTAGTTAAAAACAATCCAACATGCCCAGCCCTAAACCCTCCTCCCCACAGACCCCCCAAAATCACATTTATAATTATATATACAATACACACACACACACACACACACACACACACACACACACACACACACACACACACACATATACACACACACACACACACACACAGACACACACACACATATACACAAGTATAAAGTCACATCAGGTAAAATAGGTAAAACAATAAAAAGAAATGGGGCTGGGAGCAGATGTAACCGGCTGAAGAAGCGTCATCCAAGGAGCCATCTGCACCAGGAGCAGAGAGCCGGCTGCAGCCACAGGCAACGACACAGGACCCAGAGGAGAGAGGGGCCCCAGACCCCACCAGGCCCAGGACTCAGACCCCATAGGACCCAGAGGAGAGAGGAGGCCCCAGACCCCCACCGGATCCAAGAGCCAGTCCCCCGAAGCCACAGCAGACCCCAGCTCTCAGTGCAGAGGGCTCCTCCAGAGGAAACACTGGGGACACTAAAACAATACAATAATACAATAGAAAGTAGAACAATAGAATGTGAAAATAAAAAGAAAAATGGCAGCTGCCTAATATAATAACAATAGTAAATGGGTAGATACAATAAATAATTAAAAATAGTAAATAATAAAAATAAATAAAAATATAATCCGTCTAAAAACATAAATAGATGTACTAAAAAGCAATAATAGATAATAAATACTAATCAAAAGCTGCTCTAAAAAGGTGCGTCTTGAGCCTACTCTTAAAAATATGAACGTTCTCTGCGGCCCTGAGCTCTTCCGGCAGACTGTTCCAGAGACGGGGGCCGTAGTGCTGGAAAGATGCCTCGCCGTGAGTGCCGGAGGAGCGCAGGGGCCGGGAAGGCTCATAGGATAAAAGCAAATCTGAAAGATAAGAAGGCCCAAGACCATTAAGACATTTAAAGACCATTAAAAGAACCTTAAAATCGATCCTGAAACACACGGGGAGCCAATGCAGCGATTTTAAAACCGGTGTAATGTGGTCCCGCCCCCTGGTCTTAGTCAGGACACGTGCGGCCGAGTTTTGAAGTAATTGTAAACCTGAAATGTTCTTTTTGGGAAGACCAGAGAGCAGGGCATTACAGTAGTCAATGCGACTGGTGATAAAAGCATGCATCAGCGTCTCCGTGTTGGCCCGAGAGAGAATGGGGCGGACTCTGGCGATGTTCTTTAAATGATAAAAACCTATTTTTGTGATGTTCTTGATGTGAGGAATAAAAGTCAGCTCAGAGTCAAAGATTACGCCCAGGTTTTTCACTTGTGATGATGGATTAAAAGAGTGTGATTGGAGTTTCGGTAAAAGTTTCTCTCTCTGGGCCTCAGGACCGATGACTAAAACCTCAGTTTTGTCCTGGTTGAGCTGGAGAAAGTTTTCTGCCATCCAGGATTTCAGGTCTAAAATGCAGTTAAAAAGAGCATCCATTGGCCTGGTGTCATCAGGAGACATGGAGATGTACAGCTGAGTATCATCTGCATAACTGTGGAAGTTAATTCCATGTCTCCTGACGACACCGCCAAGAGGGAGCATGTACAGGTTAAAAAGGACTGGACCTAAAATGGAACCCTGGGGCACACCACATGTGATTTTATGGACCTGAGAGGAGCAGGTATCCAAACTTACCATGAAGGATCTGTCTGTTAAATAAGAAGTGAACCATTTGTGGACAGCACCAGAGAGGCCGAGGTGTTTCAGGCGGGATAAAAGAATGGTGTGGTCTACTGTGTCGAAGGCAGCGCTAAGATCCAGTAGAACCAACACAGTCACCTTTTTAGAATCATAATTTAGTCTAAAATCATTTAAAATCTTTAAAAGAGCAGTCTCTGTGCTGTGGTTCACCCTAAATCCTGATTGAAATTTCTCTAACATTTGCTGCTGATCTAAAAAGGCATTGAGCTGGGTAAAAACAAGTTTTTCTAAAATTTTGCTTAAAAATGGTAAGTTGGATACCGGTCTGTAGTTGTTAAAATCATTAAAATCCAAATTGCTCTTCTTCAGAAGGGGCCTCACCACAGCCGCTTTGAAGGCTGCAGGAAAGACCCCAGTCTGAAGAGAGCAATTCATCAGGTTTAAAAGCTCCTCTCTAAAAGATTCATAAAATGACTTAAAAAATGGAGTGGGGACTGGATCTAAAAGACATGTGGTGGGCCTCACTGAGGAGAAAACTTTATCAAGCATCTCAGCATCAACCAGGACAAAACTGTCCAGTGTTTCCTCTGGTGAAGACAAACAATCAGATG